CTTCGCCATATTCTTTCCCCTTTCAAAGTTCTCGAACGTGGAAAGTAATAATTTTGACCCTGAGGAAAAAGGTCATTCCTGAAATGTTAGCTTTCATGGAGAGGTGCTAGTGGTATTCGTTTAGTTTTTGGAACCTTGGGACCCTGGATGCAAATTAAAAGTAAAAACTAATGTTTGCACATTATTTTTTATTTTCATACTTTGTGACATTATAATATTTAATTTTTTAATAATGGAATCATAGTCTTAGGACTATGGAAGAATGGGCCAGATCGTCACATGATGTTAAGAATTAGCTGTTGTTTAATTACTAATTTTATATTAAAAGGTGGTCCTTCTTGACATTCTTACAATTCTTTCAGGTTTTAAACAAGCCTGTCTTTGAAAGTCTTTGAGGTAAGACAGGAGTCAATAAATTACATTAAACTGTTTTTGAATATACTGAATCATGAAAGAAAGTTACCACAATTATTTATACATATTTAGTTTAGACTCCCACTAAAAGATCTACAGTCTTATGTCCACCAGGGATTTAGCAGACACCCAGGAGAACAGAATTAATTTTTTTTCTGTAGTTCTTTAATGAGAGATGCATCTAGTCTAAGGTATTTACACTGATGATTACTAATGATACACTGAAGTTTAAATATATGAAACTCAAATAAGGAAATAAATGCTAGGTGATTTGGTTCATGATGCATTCTTATTCTGGCATGTTGACGGTGTACCCTAAGGACAGTAACCTAGGGATGACGATTAAAAGAATTGATGGGATTGAATATCTTGTGACGCATTTATAAAAAGCTTAAGGGATTTGGTACCAAGGATTTACCATTTATGTTCTTTGTTGTTTTGGGAACCAGTCATGAATTTGTTTAAGTTATAGGAAAATAATTGCACTTGATTTATTATTTAGTGTTTAACTTCAACTATAGCTTCCCGCCCCCTTTAAATCATGGTATTAGTATGATTTAACAACAGTATGTTTACTTTTTATTATTTTATTTTTATTTATTATACTGATTCCGTGTTTTAAATTTTCACAAGGTAGGAGTTGTTTGTAAATGTTGTTGTTATGTACCGTGGCGATAGCGACCCCTCCTTGGGTTTCTAGGGCAGTATCACTATGGAAGTAGATTGCCCAACCTTCCTTCCGAGTGTTTGTAAATAGTAAAGAATATCTAATGAACTCTTCATGCAACCACACATTTAAAGGTTCAGGACTATGTTTATTATAAAAGTAAGGAAAACCTCTGAAGAGTCCCATACAAGTTTAATTCTAACAGTTAGTTACATAATTTAAATGTCTTAAAATAGTAGTTTTCATATTCTTGGTCTGAAAAGAAAGCTGATTATCTCAAGGCATTTGTGATGGTAAAAAATATTTTTTGTGTATGTATTTTGAATCATAGTGAGTTTTAGTTTATTTTATATCATTCATGGTGTTCTTTAGTTTTAATTGGTAGATAGGTAGAGTTAACCTGCCTTGCAGCTAGGAAATTATAAATAAACTCACTCTGAAATACTGATTCAGTTTCTCTAGGTCACTTCAAAATATTACTGCCCTCAATCTCTGACTTATAAATCACTGAAATCTTATTTGACTCCTTTTAAAAAGTCTATTTTTCACTCTTAGTTTAAAAGAAATAAGTATCTACAGAGAATTATAGTCCAATTGCTATTTTAGATATCATAATAATTATCCAGTTGAATAATTAACATTTAGTATATCTAAAACTAACTTTGTCTTGGGTGGGAAATGGAACCAATATTAAGAAATAGCCATGGGTGGGAAATGGAACCAATATTAAGAAATAGCCAGAGGAAAATGACATTTAAATGCAACATTTCAGAACACTTTTGTAAGTCTTGAATTTAATTATTTAAACACTTAATATTTATTTTAGGTTAAGCTTTATCATAGTAGTATGCATTTATTTTAAACTCTTATTCTTCATGAGTTGCAGTTACTTATTTGCATCTTACAGAATGTGAGAGAATCTGTGTTAAAAGAGACCTTAAGTGTCATCTAACTCACATTTGCTTAAGCTTCACTCTTTTAAAACATTCCTACAACAGCCATTTTCCAGGCTATTTGTCAACACTAGGACCTCTGGTGGCCTAGTGCCTAAGGCACTTGACTGCTAACCAGAAGACTGGTGGTTCAGACCCACCAGCCACTCCTCAGAAGGAAGGTTGGGCAATCTACTTCTGTAGTGATGTTGTTGTTGTTATTTGCCATCGAGTTGGCCCCGACTCATAGTGACCCCTCCTTGGGTTTCCAAAGTAGGAATGCCCAACCTTCCTTCCGAGGAGTGGCTGGTGGGTTTGAACCGTCAGCCTTCTGGTTAGCAGTCTAGTGCCTTAGGCACTATGCTACCAGAGATCCTACCTTAAAAACCCAAGGAGGATCCCACTTGAAGGCAGTGAGTTTTTTTTTTTTTTTCCGTAAAAACTGTCATTGACAGGGAACTCAGCACTTCTATAGGCAGTTCAATCTACTTCAAGAAGTTTGAAAATATAAACTCTATTTTGCCAAAAATTTCTCACGAGTTTCTAACCGTTGATACCAGTTTACCTCCTTGAAATTATACATCTAATCCTCCTTCACATGCAGCTATTCAAATTTTGTAAAGCTCTTGTCATATTGCTCCTGAATTTTCTCTTCTTTAGACTAAATTTTCAGTGTCTTTAAGTATTTGTTAGAATCTGGTGTTAAGGCATTTTCTCATAGCCCATCTCCTTCCCTCTTTCCTCCTCTTTTTCCTTTCATTTTGTTTGTTTGCTAACCTCTGAATGTATTCAGTTGTCTTTTGTTTTTAAACTGTAGTGCAGGAAACTGGACACTGTGCTTACTATCTATCTATCTATTTATGTGTCTCCCTCACAGTCTTAGTCTTAGAGCTCATTTACATTTTTTGTATCCTCATCATTCTTTTAACTCACTTTGAATCTACTTTTCACTAAAACCTCTTAAAACCCTTTTTATACATAGGATTGAAAACTCTGTCTTTTCACTTGTCACTTGACTGCTCACCAGAAGGCTGGTGGTTCAAACCCACCAGCCACTCCTTGGAAGGACGGTTGGGCAATCCTACTTCCGTAGTGATACTGCCTCGGAAACCCAAGGAGGGGTCGCTGTGAGTCGGGGCCGACTCGACGGCAAACAACAACAACAAAAACATTGCTGGTGCAGCTGGTGGAAAAATACTTTCCCACATGCTTTCACTATCATTTGACAGTGAACAGTGGCAAAGAAAAAAATGTAAATCTCATGCTAGTAAAATTTGCACCATATCAGGTAGTCTAGGCATAGGTTTGACGACAGTAAAGTGAAGTTAATAGCTAAAAAAAAAAGTGTGTGGATAATTTATTATTTGAGATAAAATGTCTCTCATTTTATATCTTTAAAAATGTGCCTAAGTCGTATGTACTTTCTACTTCCAAAAAGGATTTTAGGTAAGTTATTCTTGATGTAGGAGTAGGAGAAGGTAAGTGTAGAGACAGGATCCCCAGGATCCCAGGTAATTTGGGCCCTGAAGATCTGCTTTCTATAGTTTCTTTGAAACTGGAGCTAAAATTCTATATAAATTTAAAGAACATTGCTCTTTTTTTTTTTTTTTTCTTATTTTAAGCCAGCAGTGGAAAGTATAGATTATTGGTGTATATTTCTACTTTTGGCTGTATTTGATGACATTTAGATCTACATACATAATATCCCCCCAACTCTTTCTTTTTAAGACATCAAACTGACCCTCTCACTCCTTCTAGACCCTTCCTCAGGAACACACTTTATGTTCAGGCCACACTGGACAATAATGTGCACTTCGTGTTTATTTGTCTTTCTCATGCTGCTCTCTTTGCCTGGAATAACTGACAGGCTCTCCTCTGTATTCAAATCCCATCTCAGCTTTCCTTGATAGTTCCAGTTTTAGACTTTGTTAATTGCTTATGCTTTTTCATTCTTTTTTCTGTAGTCCCTTATATACATACCTTTATTATATTTATCTTCATTATGGTGTTTTATTTGTGTTTGTCTTCTCTACTAGAGCACCTCAGGGCATAGGTCTGTTTTTAAAATCTTTGTAGGAATATAGTAGATGTTTAACAAATGTTAGTCAAAATTATATATTAGATGTGTTTCTGTACAGTAAGCTCACATACATACACAGACACATAGATAAGGATTTATATAATTATGTAGTTTGAAAAGTTGTACACATACAAAAAATTACCAAGGATAGGAACTAACTTCAATTTGTAGGTAATTTTAGCTAGTTCTTTTAAAAAAAATGGCTGAACTTATATATCATTTTCACAAACCTTTATTGACTTTCATCTGACATTTCTGTTTACTGCCAGATAGTATTAGGTATCACAGTTCTTTTTAATGAAAATATATTTTTTATTTAGAGTTGATAGAAGTTTGACTTCTGTAGAAATCAACATTCACCATAATTGAGAATTTGTTATTTAGTTAAAAAGATTTCAGATAATAAATCATACTTACGCTATGTAGCAACATGTCACTCATTAGACTGAGAAACTGAGGATGGGAAATTGTATAGTTGTTTTTATTTGAACATGATAAATTGGAGTGAATGACACTAAGAAACTGAGTCATTTCTCCTAATATGGAGAGAGTTTTGATGACTGGCAGGGGGTATGGAGAATCCTTCACTAAAGCCTCAGACTCTTCTTATTAGTTTTAGTTTTAGTTTGCTTATAGATTAGGATATTGGGAATTAGAGGGAGATAGATGAATTTTTAGGAATGATGTACGTTTGGAAATATTGGACCATTTCAAATTTTTCTTTGAGAGTAGACAAATATTTATTTTTTAATATTTCATGCTTTTTGTTTTATGTGTCAATTAGCTTTTCCATGAAAATCATAATGCATGTCTTAAATCTTACTTTCAACATTAATCTCTATACTCTACTTCATCCCTAAGGTAGATATAATGTATCTTTTTTTTTTTTTTTTAATCTGACAGCATTTTTCCTTTTCAAAAGGAAAATGAATGGAAATAAAAGTATTGATTCAAAAGAAAATGGAGAATATGAAGATGATTTTGAAAAGGATCTGGAATGGTTAATTAATGAAAAAGAAAAAAGCTATGCCAACATAATAAAGGTATATTTAAATGCCAGTAGAATTCATAATAATTACATTTACAAAATGCCTTGCAATTTTTGAAGAGTTTTATATATCTTATCTAAATATCACAAAATTTCTTTGACTGGGCAAGTTTCATTATCCCCAATATGGAGATGAGGACATTGAGTTTAAATGTTGTATTCTAAGGCATAGAGCTAGGTAGTAAAATAATAGGGATTAAATTGTTGTTGTTGTTATATGCTGTCGAGTCGGACTCAACTCATAGCGACCCCTCTTTGGGCTTCTGAGGCAGTATCACTATGGAAGTAGGTTGCCCTTCCTTCCGAGGAGTGGCTGGTGGGTTTTGAACCACTAGTCTTCTGGTTAGCAGTCAAGTGCCTTAGGCACTACGCTACCAGAGCTCCTAGGGATTAAATTAGCACCTAAAAAAGATAAAATTGTAAAATTATATAAACAGAGTAGAATTGCCCCATGGGGTTTCCAGGGCTATAAATCTTCATGGAAGCAGATTGCCTCATCTTTTTCCTGTGGGGTGGTTTGTGGGTTTGGACTGCTCACCTTTTTGTTAGCAGCTCAATGCTTTAACCACATTGCCACCAAAGCTCCTATATGATAATAATATAAACATAAAATTATAATTTATTGCATTAAAAGTAAAAACAAATACAGTTAATCCCTACTTTAAAATCATGGTTGGGGTTGTACTTTTAATTAAAGTAAAAAACCAAGCAAATCCTCAGAAAATAAGGTCTTTCTGCGCATATTTGAAACTCTAAGACTGGATTAGCTCTTTTGGTGAATGAATTTAGAGAAAAGAGTGAAAGGTCAAATCTAAGCCTTAGGAATACTTCCAGGAAAAGGTAGATCCATTAAAAATGATAATATGCTATTTGTAAGAGATAAAGAAAGGATATCTAGGAAAATGAACCAATTCCTGGATTATGGAAGAGTCTGTCTCCCTTTTTGTGTGTGCACATACACACACATGCACACATACACATGTGTATATTGTTTTTGTGTGTGTTTTATGTATATGTGTATGTATATATAGCAAGGGAGAAAGAGACCTCATCTGTATATGTATATACATACACAAATAAAATTAGGGAATAATGAGGAAAATAATTAAGGCTAGAATATAAGTAAGTGGTTTTAGAGGGATAATTATATAAGTTACAGCAGAACCAAGATTAAAGAGGGGTAAGGAAAATACGAGGGAATGAATGTAGCAATTTATATGTAACAAACTTCTCATACAATGAGAAGATAGGTGGGATGGATGATGTTTTAAATAGGCAATGGAGTCAGAAGTGACGATTTTTCTCAGATGAATTTTAAACGGGGTTTCTTTACATCTTTAATAGAACTGTAAATTGTTAAGAGTAGAGACACTGAGAGGCACAAGATTGAACCAAAGTCTCAGGACCAGAAGGGTGTGAGATCCAAAGCACAGGTGATAGAAGTAGAGAGGTGATGGTGTTGATTTATTGTTTCTTCATTCAAGAATATTAATGATCTCTTCCCATGTGTCAGAGACCGTTTTAGGTGTTGGGAATACAGCAGTGATTAAAACAAAGTGCTCTCATGGAGCTTATGTCCTAACGGATGATTACAGTCATCTCTTAGGCTGCCAGGGAAAATGACAGACTAGACAGGGATGGGATTTGGGGAAGATTTCATTGTAAAGTGATAGTTTTATTGAAGTGGGTTTTAAAAAGTAAAGAAGTAGAACCCAAAGGAGAATTTGGAAACTGATACAATAGGAAGGAATCAAATAAGGCTAAGAACAACTGTAATGCAGAGAGAAAACTTAAGTTAATATCTTAGTTAAATCGTAATTGTTTGGTAATCTCTTTATGGGGCCAGGCTTATTTATTTATCAGACATCTAGCAGTATTATGCAGGTTAGGAAGAGAAGACTGCTAGCAAGAATCACTTGTTAGCAAATAAAAAAGGAAGAGGATTCTAGGAGACTGAAAGTTATGGCAACTAATAGCTTGCCATAGAATTGTTTGAGGAGGGAAAGGATTGTCTGAGAAAGAGGAAAAAAATTGTAAAGGTGAAGTGTTTGGTAGTTAAGATGTATGTATGTTAGAGAGATGTTAGGTAAGAAGCTTTAAATTAGAAACAGCAAATATAGAACAAGGTTTTGTAATGAGATAATACTGGTTTATGGTTCATGTGGAATTACAACTTGTTAAAAATATAAGGCCAGCTAACCAGCCACTCCTTGGAAGGAAGGTTGGGCAATCTACTTCCCTGGTGACACTGCCTTGGAAATGCAAGGAAGGGTCGCTATGAGTCAGATCTGACTCGATGGCAGTTTTAGAGTATCTGATGGGTTATTAGCATGGATTTTTGGAATCTCCAAGGATAGTTGAGGTAGGGAAATCTGATCTAGAAGTAAAAATTGTCCTAGAATGTAGATTTAGGTTCTGTAGACAATTATAGAAATAATAATTTAAAAACATTATAAAAACCTCAAATGATTAAGACTGGACCAAAGGCAGTGTCCTTGTAATGGTTGTCAAGAGAAAGGATTCTGCTAATAGGGCAAGATATTTCGAAGGGTACATTACAATGGAAAAAAAAATGGAAAATTATTCTTCTAACATTGTAAATGGAGGATAGTTTTATAAGGGGAAGAATACTAAAATAATATTATGTATAGTTACCTTTTGATGCATTAGCATACAAATTTTTAAAAAGCAATGTAGCATTTAGCAACATCAAATTCAAATTTAGAGTTATATATTTTGCCCCATAGTACTGTTGTCACATATATGTATTTCCCTTGGTGATATACATGTAAATTCATGAATGTGAATTAAAATATGTGTGAAATATAAGCACGAAGCACTTAAATTTGCCCATATACAAAATAAATTATATGAATAGGAAAATGTACTTTGTGTTAGCCACATATAAATGGACAAAGACTGTAAATTTTGGCTGTTAAAGAGAATCTTACATCTTTTTTTAGTTGGCTTCTGGGGAGAAAGAAACTATTAACCAAGAATTGAAAGAGAATGAAACAGAAATAGAATGCACCAAACAGCTTTCTGATTCTGACAAATCTTTAAGGGATGAAGTTTCACCTAGAAGAAACGACTTCATTTCTGTACCAAGTATTCAACCTTTAGATCCCATATCAGATTCAGATAGTGAAAACTCTTTCCAGGAATCTAAAATGGAAAGCCAGAAAGACCTGGAGGAAGAAGAGGATGAGGAAGTAAGGCAATATATCATGGAGAAAATTATGCAAGCAAACAAACTTCTACAGAATCAAGAACCTGTGAATGATAAAAGGGAGCGAAAACTTAAGTTCAAGGACAAATTAGTTGATCTGGAAGTTCCTCCACTGGAAGACACTGATACTTACAAAAATTGTTTGGAAAATGAAAGTACTGTGTCTGGAAAACTGTCACAGTTATGTATTTCCAATGAAATTAGGCAAGAAAATGTGCTCCTGTCACTTAACAGTGGAAGTTATGATGATAACAAGGACAGGAAGATACTGGTAGAGAGAGATGGAAAGTTTGAACTTCTGAATTTACAAGACATTGAGAGCCAGGGTTTTTTGCCACCAATTAATAATGCTAATAATACAGAAAATGAGCCTCAGCAGTTATCATCCAGATCTCCCAACTCATCTGTCAATGGTATTAAGAAAGAAGAGCCTGTAGCAAAGATTCATGGTATCTCTCACTCATCAACAGGAGAGCCACTGGCTTCTATCCCTCAGCCACCAGCCAATCCCAAGACTCGTCCAAACTCTGCTGTCAGCTCAGATAGAAGTAAAGGAAATGCGAAATCTAATTACAGGACCCACTTAACAAATATATCTCCAGTGACCTCAACGTATTGTCTTTCCCCTCGGCAGAAAGAACGGCAAAAACAGCTAGAAAAAAGGAGAGAAAAGCTAAAGAGAGAGGTGAGAGCGTATGTGGATAGTATATTGAAAGTAGAGTATCATATTTTACAAATGCAGTATGAGTTGAAATGGTTATCAAAGTATTGGAAATTTTTGCTTATTTATTTTATTTTTGTTACTGGAATAAGCACTTAAATGTTAAGAACATGTTTATGGCACAATCAAGATTATCTTGATTTGTTCTTGCAAGGAACACAAAACATGGTGAAGAATGGCCTGTGTTAGAGCTAGAATTCTCAGTGATGATTTCATCTAAACTCTTCATTTTAAAAGTGAGGTTCAGAGAAATTAAGTGACTTCTGCAAGTCCCCTTTTTTATGAGATAGAGGACAATAAGATGTCCGATGGAAAAATGAAGTCATGGAGTTGTTGGAGGTTAAGAGCCAGCAACTGTATTGTACACCTGGATTATAATTCCCTTGTTTATATATGTGTGTATGTCACATATCTTCAATACTTAAAATTCATTGATTTAATTTTACACTAAGAAGAAAGCCTAATATCCTTAACAAAATGTTTCCAGAATACCGTATGGAATCCCAAAATCATCTCCTGTTTTTTTTTTTTCCACTCTTAACTAAAACTCTATGTATTTTATAATTGACAATTCCAAGTACTTAGAGTGGTACATTTATTTCTAAATTATTAAATTAGTGCTCCAATTCTCTGGTTCACTGGATACCTAATTGTATTAAGCATACAAAATGTCTCAAATGTGAATACAAAGGTTCAGCAGAATCAGAAGTTAATAGAATTTTACAATTAGAAGGGACCTTAAGTATCATTTTACAGATAAGAAAACCTTCATCTAGAATGGTTAAGTAACTTTACTAAAGTCACTCAGTTTGTTAATCCAAGATTTGGAATAAAAATTCCAGTTCTTTTGGCATTCACTGAGAAATGGTATGTTTTCCATCTAATGAAGTTTCAGGGAAATTTGTGGCATTTAAATCATGAATTCACATTACACAAAAAGATGAAAATCAAAGTTGTAAGTAGCCTACAGGACACCCAGGCAGAAATGTGTGAAAGCTTGTATGAGTTTTGCTTAATTGCCCACCAAAATCTGATCTGACAGACTGTTTACTTGGTTAGGGTATATGACAATACTGAAAAGGATCTCTTAACTCAGAACTTAATGACAATATGAAATAATTTTTTGGGAATGATTCAACTATGTAATGTTTGCTGTACACACAAGTGTGTGTGTATTTGTATTTTAATAAATGTTATATAGAAGATTTTATAAAATTTTTATTGCCTTCTCAATAATGAACAGCTGATAGTCTTTATCTGGTGTGACTGCTTGACAGCTTTGTTTTCATTTTGATCCTTCTTTCTGGGGTCTCACTCTCTTTGTTGTGGAATACACTTTTCTCATGTCAGGATCCTCATGACAAAATTTCCCTTTGCTTATGAACTTGCTAAAGCGTAGACTTATGTGCTAAGGCTTTTAACATTTTTCAGTTGGTTTCAGGTGAAGGCCTTCTCTTCTTTGCCCAACTAAGTATTTACTGGGTTGGGCTGCTATACTCTGTCTCTCTATCCTATGTGTATCATTTCACTGTTTTCTTTGGCAACTGCATTGCTTATGCTTTCTGTGTAATATACCCAAATAATCTCTATGCAAAGATAATAATTTTATATGTATTTATGCAAGGTATCCAAAATACTTTTTGCAAAAAGGAAATGTATAAATGCAAAATTTAATCTTTAATAAATTCACATTGTAATGTAAGCTCCATTGGGGCTTAGAAAATAGCATATAGATCTTTTTTTAAAAGATACAGTTTATGCCCTTAATTTGGTAGAATTTTTTCTTCCCTGCTTTTTCTTTTATCCAGTCAAAAGAAGGAATTAGAAAGTCTTGCTGTATTGTCAAAATACAGGGAAAGCACTTTGAATTTCATTATTTTAAGAAAATGCAAGCATGGACTAGTATAATTCAATTCGTTTAAATGGTAAAATTTTCATATTGGAAGAGACTTAAATATTTGTTAAAACAAGTCTGTTTTACAGATGAGAATCCTGAGGCAGAGGTTAAATGGCTCACCCAAATTGACAGAGTATGATCACAGTAGGATTATTCCTCAGATCTTCTAACTTTTAGCTTGGTGCTATTTTCACTACTCTAGGCAGCTTCGCTCCCAGTAACTATTTTATAGCTCCACGTAATTGACACTTAATATTTAACCAAGAAAAAACAAACCAACTACCATCAAGTCAATTCTGACTAGTAGAGACACTATTTAAGTATGAATAATTAGCTGAATAATTCAGATTTTAAAAATTCCTTTTGTTTGTTTTATTGAGTGTCTAAATATTTTTCTGATGGCAACAATGTTACATTTTTTATGAGCATGTTGTTGTTGTTGTTGTTATTTGCCGTCAACTCGGCCCGACTCATAGCGACCCCTCCTTGGGTTTCCGAGGCAGTATCACTACGGAAGTAGGATTGCCCAACCTTCCTTCTGAGAAGTGGCTGGTGGGTTTGAACTGCCAGCCTTCTGGTTAGCAGTCAGGTGCCTTAGGCACTATGCTACCAGAGCTCCTTTTATGAGCATAGTTACTTGAAAAATATTTTTACACATTTTAATAAAAAAATTCAAACACATAAAAGTCCATAAAAGTTGTATATCCTCATCACCCAACGTCATTAAGATTTGGCATACATGCTTCATCTCCTCCTCATTTTTGGCTGAAGTATCTATAAAGTAAGTCCTAGACACCATATCATGTCTCACTTACATACTTCCCCAAAAATCTCTAAATGATTATAGAATTATATTTCATTATATGAGCTCTGGTGGCATAGTGCCTAAGGCACTTGACTGCTAACCAGAAGGCTGGCGGTTCAAACCCACCAGCCACTCCTCGGAAGGAAGATGGGGCAATTTATTTCCATAGTGATACTGCCTCAGAAACCCAAGGAGGGGTCGCTGTGAGTCAGGTCCAACTCGATGGCACATAACAACAACAACAACAACAACAACATACCACTATCATGCTTAATAAATTTAATATAATATAAAAACTTGAAAATACCATGATAGTGCTTCAATTGATACTATATAGTATTTCCACAGTATGGTATTTTTTTTTCCCCCACATAACTATAAGTTCAGGAGTTGAATATCAAAAGTAAACTAGGACATGAAGGAGAAATTCAAGGTATTCCTAAACAGCATAGATGTATTATACTTACATATTATTGTAGATTTTATCCCTACAGTTTAATTTATCTGATAAATCTTCATTTTTTTTCCCTTTAAGGGAAAAATATAAAATATAAAAAAATATATAAAATAAATATATATAGAGAAATAAATATAAAAATATAAAATTGAGGCCCAATTTTAATAAGGCCCAATTTTCAGATAGAAAATTTAAGGGGAAAGGAGTCCTAATTTCAGATCTGAAAATCTCTTTCTCTATTCTATAACTCAGAAACAATACTATTAATGTTTCATTAATGTCTTTATATGTATTTTTTCACTAGGAAGAACAACGGAGAATAGAAGAAGAGAAAGAAAAGAAAAAAGAGAATGACATGGTATTTAAAGCATGGTTGCACAAGAAAAGAGAACAGGTTCTAGAGATGAGAAGAATTCAGCGAGCGAAAGAAATAGAAGACATGAACAGTAGAGTAAGTAAACCTTCTCTATGGAAAATTATTTCATACAGATATGAAACCTTTATTTACAGAAAGTCTGAATAGTGCTCCACAGCCAACGGAACCAGTAGCAAAAATGATCCAAGAACTACTCCTGCAAAAGTTATAATATACAGATGACTTTACAATTGTTGTTGTTGTTGTTATGTGCCGTCGAGTCAAACCCGACTCATAGCGACCCCTCCTTGGGTTTCCAAGGCAGTATCACTACGGAAGTAG